TCAGAGCTCTTTCTTTTAGTGTCCGGGGACTCGTTTGACTCCTGCTGTCGAGTTTGATGGCTTGACGAACAATTAGCGCCATAGGTGATATTTTAAATGTGTTAGCTGTGATTGAACTGGACATAACCGAGAGAGGAGACCGAGATCCTGCTGATAATCAAGGTAAACAAACCACTGTACTGATCTGAGTCTGTGTTCTAGCAATCTCACCCCCAGTCTGATCTTTTCTCATCTCATCTGATCTGATCTTCTGTGTCTGTCTGTTATTCATCTGATCTGGTCTGATCTTCTGTCTGTTTTTCATCTGATCTGGTCTGATCTTCTGTCTGTTATTCATCCGATCTGGTCTGTCTTATTCATCTAATCTGGTCTGATCTTCTGTCTGTTTTTCATCTGATCTGGTCTGATCTTCTGTCTGTTTTTCATCTGATCTGGTCTGATCTTCTGTCTGTTTTTCATCTGATCTGGTCTGATCTTCTGTCTGTTATTCATCTGATCTGGTCTGATCTTCTGTCTGTTATTCATCTGATCTGGTCTGATCTTCTGTCTGTTTTTCATCCGAACTGGTCTGATCTTCTGTCTGTTATTCATCCGATCTGGTGTGATCTTCTGTCTGTTATTCATCCGATCTGGTCTGATCATCTGTCTGTTTTTCATCCGAACTGGTCTGATCTTCTGTCTGTTATTCATCCGATCTGGTCTGATCTTCTGTCTGTTATTCATCTGATCTAGTCTGATCTTCTGTCTGTTTTTCATCCGATCTAGTCTGATCTTCTGTCTGTTATTCATCTGATCTGGTCTGAACATCTGTCTGTTATTCATCTGATCTGGTCTGAACATCTGTCTGTTATTCATCTGATCTGGTCTGATCTTCTGTCTGTTATTCATCTGATCTGGTCTGTCTGTTATTCATCTGATCTGGTCTGATCTTCTGTCTGTTATTCATCTGATCTGGTCTGATCTTCTGTCTGTTTTTCCTCTGATCTGGTCTGATAATCTGTCTGTTTTTCATCTGATCTGGTCTGATCTTCTGTCTGTTTTTCATCCGATCTAGTCTGATCTTCTGTCTGTTTTTCATCTGATCTCGTCTGATCTTCTGTCTGTTATTCATCTGATCTGGTCTGATCTTCTGTCTGATCTTCTGTCTGTTTTTCATCTGATCTGGTCTGATCTTCTGTCTGTTATTCATCCGATCTGGTCTGATCTTCTGTCTGTTATTCATCCGATCTGGTCTGATCTTCTGTCTGTTATTCATCTGATCTGGTCTGATCTTCTGTCTGTTTTTCATCTGATCTGGTCTGATCTTCTGTCTGTTATTCATCCGATCTGGTCTGATCTTCTGTCTGTTATTCATCTGATCTAGTCTGATCTTCTGTCTGTTTTTCATCTGATCTGGTCTGATCTTCTGTCTGTTATTCATCTGATCTGGTTTGATCTTCTGTCTGTTTTTCATCTGTTCTGGTCTGATCTTCTGTCTGTTATCCATCTGATCTGGTCTGATCTTCTGTCTGTTTTTCATCTGATCTGGTCTGATAATCTGTCTGTTTTTCATCTGATCTGGTCTGATCTTCTGTCTGTTTTTCATCTGATCTGGTCTGATAATCTGTCTGTTTTTCATCTGATCTGGTCTGATCTTCTGTCTGTTTTTCATCTGATCTGGTCTGATCTTCTGTCTGTTTTTCATCTGATCTGGTCTGATCGTCTGTGCATGCAGATGATGTGCGAGGTGATGCCCACCATCAGTGAGGCGGAGGTCTGCAGTGCGGGCGGGGCTCTGGGCTCCGGGTCCCCAGTGCAGACGGACTCTGAGGGCCACTTTGAGTCTCTGATGGTGTCGATGCTGGAGGAGCGAGACCGGCTGCTGGACACACTGCGGGAAACACAGGAGAACCTGTGTGTGGCCCAGAGCAAACTCCACGAGATCAGCCACGAGAGAGACTCACTGCAGAGACAGCTGAACAGCGCACTGCCACAGGTGGAGCACTCACTCATTCACCCATTCACTCACTCAATAATTAATTTGTTCACTCACTCACCCACTAACTCATTCATGTACTCACTCACTCACTCACTCACTCACTCACTCACTCACTCACTCACTCACTCACTCACTCACTCACTCACTCATTTATGTACTCACTCACTCACTCACTCATTCATTCATGTACTCACTCACTCACCCACTAACTTATTCATTTATTCACCAACTCACACTGCAGACCGTCACTCACTAATTCATTCACTCACTCATTTGCTCGCTTTTACATTCATTCATTCATTCACTCATTCACTCATTTACTCACTCTGTCACTCGTTATGTGAGTTGTGAATCGAGCTGCAGTGGATCTCGTCTGCAATACTGATCATTTCTGACGGGTTTGGGGGAAGTGAAAATGTTGTTCTTGTAAACTGATGGGAAATTAAATATTGAGTCTGAATCCTCATCTCTGTGTGTGTGTGTGTGTGTGTGTGTGTGTGTGTGTGTGTGTGTGTGTGTGTGTGTGTGTGTGTGTGTGTGTGTGTGTGTGTGTGTGTGTGTGTGTGTGTGTGTGTGTGTGTGTGTCTCTCTCTGTGTGTGGGCGCGGGTGTGTGTGTGTCTCTCTCTCTCT